TCTGCATTTTTACAATTTAAAAAAACTTTGTTTACTTTATTTTTATACCAGTTTTACAAATGAGGACATCCCCAAAGGGAGGTTTTTGGAGATTTTGTCAGGTTTAGCTCACTTTTGGGTACAAATATGTCCCCAAAATATGGTTAAGTAGGTACACACGCACACACACACACACACACGCACACATACACACACACACTGTCTCTATATGACAGACAGTTAAATAACAAAGACTGAAGATGTCAGCTAGAAAGAAAGTCATTTCAGAGGGAGCAAGTTACTAGATTATGATCAAAGATTATCAAGACAAACATTTATTTCTTTATAATAACATCACTTATGACTGCAAGAACATAAAGAGAGTCAACAGAGTCAGTTTTAACTTCTTGTTGACCTCAATTAAAGGGATAAGTCACCCCAAAATTTTAATTCTATCATCCTTTAATAAAAATAAGTTATTTTGAAAAATGTCTCCATATTTTTTGTCCATATAATGAAAGTTAATGGGGTCCAATGTTGCTTGGTTCCCAATGTTCTTCAAGGTTTGTGTTCGACTGAAGAAAGAAACCCATAGGTTTGAGGGGAGTGGATGATCAAATGATAATTTCTGGCTGAGCTATTTCATTAAATCTTAAATAAAATCACATTATGATGGACTCCTACAAATATCCGAGTGTTAATTTCACATAATACAGCAATTTCAGTGGGAATAGGAAACGTCTCACTCACCTTCCCAAACTTCGAAGTCTTTGAAGGCGAGTTCAGAGCCGGAGTCGTCCAGCAGCACCTCTCCGTTGAGCGTGAACATCATGGTGCGTTCGTTCATGTCCACCATGCAGCCCACCACGTCTCCAGACTGCCAGGAGCGGCCGAAGTGCTCGTTGCCCTGATGCCAGCGCTGAGCCTGCAGAAACACAGCTCAGCTTCCATCTGTCCTCAACACGTGTGACGGCTCTCAGTGTTTCTGCATCACGCTCACCTTGAATCCATCAAAGACGAAGGCCTGGTCGTCTGAGCCCAGCTCCAGGTCCGGCAGACAGCCGGGTCTCGCCCAGCCCACCCGCATCTCTCCTGCCGTCACCACCTCCAGCTCAAAGTACCACTTCCCTCCGTTCACGCTGTAGGTCTTCTCCGCTCGGAATATCCGGAAGCGCTCCGCAGACGGATTACACACGTCTGCTCGGGCCGCTGCGCAAAACACACACACATGAGCAAACCACCACGGGATGATGAGCTGAATATAATACGCTAGAGTGCTCCAAAACAATGACAAATGCATTTAGAAGATATCTGCAATCAGAACTAAAAACCACCAATGCAGATACCAATACCGTGGTCTTGATCCGGGGCCTCCAGGTTGAATCCGTATCCCAGCAGCGTCCGCACGGCTTCCCGCAGACTGTCCTTGTTTGATTTCTTGGTCCTCTCGTCCAGAAGAACGTAAGGAACCAGACGAGGGTTTCTCTTGCTCTTGATGTCCTGCAGAGACACAGAGACGAGTGTGAGGAGACATCACAGATGAGTCCAGACGGGGATCTCACTGACAGCTGGCTCCAGTCTCATTTCTCAGTCCGTTTATATCACACTATAGCTATTTCTACTGTAACTGTAAAACTGCTTCATATATGAAATATTTGCGTTCATATCTATTTTTGATATTCCAGTGAATCTGCTTCATCTCATTTGATTCTTTTCTCCATTTTCCTCTTTATTTGTACTTAATAAACACATATTTCTGTATCCAGGACTGATTGCACAGACACTACTGGACGAGAGCTGAACTGGATGATGACGTCACTGAATCATCAATGAACTGACTTTAGCTGAAAAATGATATATATTGTATTGTAATATTGTAATATTGTCTTCTTGCATTATTGACAAACTATTTTCCTGTTTGACTCTGTAAAGCTGCTTTGACACAACCAGTATTGTATAAAGCACTATACAAATAAAGGTAAAAAAAAAATTTAAACAAATGTATCAGTTCCACATTATTAATCACTTAAGACTACTATTAACGGTGCATTCAAGTCCTCTTGGGAAGTTAGTATTTATGAGTTGGGAAGTTTAATTACAACGTCAGGTGCATTTTCTACAGAAGCTGCATTCATTGCATCCAACATGTTTTCTCACTAACGCTCAGAAACTCAGGACTTTAAAAACTGTGATGTTGACATTCATGTGCGTTCAACTCACTAAATCCTATCATCATGACTTGAACACACCATATAAAAGAGTCCAATCATGCAGTGTATGTTTTGGAAGCATAAGCGGGTTTAGGACGGAGCCGGTACGTACACTACACATTACACACTACACACACTGACCTGCTGGACGCCGTAGGTCCAGCCCTGTCGTATGCGGTCTCGCGCCCAGACGTTGTGAGCGTTCTCTGCCAGCTTGTCCACCATGGCCTCCTGGGTAGACGCCAGTTTGATGTGGCTCAGGTCCATCGGGGCCGGTTTATACCCGCTGGACAGCTGGTATCTGACAGGAGAACACACGCTAACTGACCAGCAGACGAGCAACTAACGCTTACTACATACATGATATCAACACGTAACAGACACGCAGGAAACTCAAATGTGGGACAGAGATTCTGTTCAGAGGATGCTGGTTAGTGCTCAATTTAGTTAACCAGTGTGATGTCTAATGTAAAAGTGAGATATCAGAGCTCGTTGTGACACCTATATCCCAAACACAACATAAATCCAGACACATAAACGTGTTAGTATTTCATGACTGACGTTTGACACTCACTTTGCTGAAAGCTTCAGATTTGTGACTTTCTCTGCGGCTCGTTCGTCCGCCACTCCCACATGACAGCCCAACGCCAGAAGAGTCCTGCAGCACACACATCAGATCACGGCATGATGGGAAAATTGTGATTTACATCAGTGAATCTCAAGAGGGTCGTGAACCAAAAACAGATCCTAGATGTGATGCGTCACACACAGCAGTGAAATCAATGATAAAAACTATAAATGCAACTAACCATAAAATCATGTATAGTTATGAGAGCAAAATAAACTGATGAGAAACACGTGTCACATCTTCTGTTGCTGAAGAAGTCTGTGTGTCAGTCAAACTCTACAGCAGATCAGAGTCTAGTCGAATTAGACAGATCACAGTCTGTGTTCATCCTTCATCATCAAAACCCAGCAAAAAAACGACACTATGAGCTAGACAACATTAATCATGTTAGTATTTGATTTAATGAGATGTTTATTCGTGTGCAATAAACAATCCAGGACTGTGTCAGTTGTCAGAAGACAGGTGTGCCGCTCAGTCAGAGTCAGTCCAGTGTGACTCCTGCACAATCACACACAACACCTCATTAAGACACGAGCGCAGCGCAGGGACTCACACACACACACACACACACACCACAGGACTGTAATTAAAGTCATTAGAACGCTTCTGAAACAGAAAAGAAAGAAGACGACAGAAAAGAGGAGTGCTGATAGAGACAGACACTAATGACAGTCAAAGAGACTCTAGCACAAATATGATTAATCTCAAAGACAATGTGAGCTTATTGACTCTATTGACTCTGATTCATCAGTGACGTTAGTTAACGTGACAGCACTGGATCTACTAGTGAAGAACGACATCGATCAATCTGATTCACTACATCATGATTTCAGCAGCATGTGCTTTTTCACATACGTGACCCTGGAGCACAAAAGCAGTGTTGAGTCGCTGGGGGATATTTGTAGCAATAGCCAAAAATACATTGTATGGGTCACAATTATACATTTCTCTTTTATGCCAAAAATCATTAGGATATTAAGTAAAGGTCATGTTCCATGAAGATATTTTGTAAATTTCCTACTGTAAATATATCAAAACTTAATGTTTGATTAGTAATATGCATTGCTAAGAACTTCATTTGAACAACTTTAAAGATGATTTTCTCAATATTTAGATTTTTTTGCACCCTCAGATTCCAGATTTTCAAATATTGTCCTATCCTAACAAACCACACATCAATGGAGAGCTTATTTATTCAGCTTTCAGATGATGCATAAATCTCAATTTTGAAAAATTGACACTTAAGACTGGTTTTGTGCTCCAGAGTCACATATTTAAGTGCTAACCATCCAACGAACATGAAACACAATTACAAGTCAATACAAAAACAAGGTCTTCAATTATTACGCCAAATGTAATGTCATTACTAGTAAACTAAGAAATCAAACTGATTAACACATCAGATGAAACTAACTTGAGCGTCTCCTGAGACATCTGTAGGTTGTAGCTGCGCTCTTGTTCAGGAAGTCTGGAGAACTCCACCAGACACGGATGCTGCCGTTTATTATCATCTCTCACCTGCATCATGAATGGAGGGAACCATATGTGTGTTAGAAAATGCAGGAATTCATAACAGACTATGCATGAGTGCATGGAGATCAAGAGCGTTCCACCATAGACATATTCAACAAAAAATACATTTTAAAGTTCATTTTTGATAGGGAATTAATGAGGAACATTAAATGATAATGGTAGAACAATCAATCACACGTTATAACTGCATTCACAATAACTGAACTAAGAATATTTTATGATTATTTTATCATGTGGCATGACTTTCATCTAGTGCCAGCTGACTTTCCTCTCGCTCATCAACAACATCACTGTTTCTGCTGGACTGGGCTTGTGAGTCGATGAAAAGCTATTAATTAATTTTGATTGTTAACTTATGGATTTAAAAATGTAAATGACTGAAATCCTCAGTAATTTATCTCTGATTCAGAGGAAACGCTTCAATCCTCCACAGAGGACACGAACATGACGAGTGTCTGACGTACCGCTCCGTAGGTCCATCCCAGCTCAATCTTGTTCATCACCCACAGCTCATGGATGTTTTCTGCCAGCTTCTCCCGGATCCGCTCAAGATGTGGAGGCAACACGATCTACACAGAAGAAACATGTTCACACACACACACACACACGTGATCATCACATCTGAACCTATTCATTAACAAACACTGTTCAGGTGTGTGTGTACCTGACTGGTGTGTGTTTGTATGTGTGTGTACCTGACTGGTGTGTGTTCAGGTGTGTGCTTGTGTGTGTGTACCTGACTGGTGTGTGTTTGTGTGTGTGTGTACCTGACTGGTGTGTGTTTGTGTGTGTGTGTACCTGACTGGTGTGTGTTCAGGTGTGTGTACCTGAGTGGGGTGT